ATCATAGGATTAAAGTACATTTCATCATGCGATAGGATTAAAGTACATTTCATCACGACACGTGTAGTTTTCGCTTTACATTCTGCATTCAAATGATAACATATATTAATGTACTGCGCACATTAATCCGTCTCTCTGCCGAGATAAATAAATAGTCTGCAATTTGTGCGCAGTTCAGGAATTTGTAACGTCAATGAATGACCATTAGATCTCAGAATCTGTTTTTATGATCTTTGATGTCTATCTCGACATGCTTGTTGTCAAGAATAAAAACACACATTCCGAACTACACATTCTGAAGATTGGATACGAACTAGGCTGTCATATATGATAATTTTTCAGGTCTGTTAATTGGCTATAAGATAAAGAAATCCGGTAATCTCTCTGTCTTGCAGCTAATGCTTAACAGGCATGAAAAATTTGTCATACGACAAATGTAATAATAGTCCTAGATTTCTAGAAAAATATTGTGATTATCGGATAATAGATAAGTGAAAAAATTGATAAGCAGCAATATATACGAGAGTGCAAAATTCATTTAAACCCCTTTCATCCATACACAGTTGTATGCAATAAACGTGTATATTTCATCAGAAATATTTCATGATAAGTTATTTATTTCATTATAAATACTAGTGTAAATTTTTTTCAGAATTGTTATTGTAACACTTCAGAAATATTGAAAAAGTCTACGTTTTTTTCTAAAATTCTACGTGTGAATTTTAAAATATTCTAATATTTCTAAGATTTCCACTCTATAATTTCTGATAAAATGAAATGAAATTTAAGGTATTTTTTTCAGAAATTATAGAATGACAAATTTTTTAGAAATGTTAGAATAATATTTATGAAGGATTCTAGAAAAGATAATGTATACTTTCTCAGTAATGTGTACTTCTGTTCCAATTTGTATAAAAAATTTGAGAACTTTCTAAAAAATTGTAAAATATTTAAAAGTTCTAAAAAATTCTAAATTTTATATAAAAATTCTCAAAAAATATTTACCAGAAAAATTTTTTTGTATTTCTGTAAAAGACAGAATTCGCGAATCGAAAAACACAGAGAACGAGAATTAAAATGTAGACCTCTCTCATGTTGATCTCTATATATTCCTCTGAACCTATGAAATTAGATATGTCGATGTCGAGAAAGGAAACGGAGAGAAGGAAAGAGGACAGAGAAAGCGCAATAATTAAAGGAATTAGAAAACAGTATTAATTTTAACGGATCAATATTAATTAATTAATGTATTTTTTTTAACTTTGGGGAAATCGAGCAGATTAAAATGAAGTGGAAAAGCGCAGCGATTTTAAATCCAAAAAAACAACATTAATTCCAATGAGTAAACATATACTTTTTAGCTTTGGGGAAATCGAGCAGATTAAAAATGAAGTAAATAAATGCAAAGTTTTAAAGAAACGAAAAACAGCATTAATTCCAATGAGTAATCATATATCTTTTTTAGCTTCGGGGAAATCGAGCAGATTAAATTTTTTAAATGAAAAAACGCGGTATTTTAAAGAAACAAAAAACAGCATCATTCTAATGAGTAAACATGTATTTTTTTTAGTTTCTCGAAGAAATCAAGTATATAAAGTGGAAAAGCGCGGCATCTTAAAGAATTACAGTATTAATTCCAATGAATAAACACGTATCTTTTTTAACTCCGGGAAATCGAGCGGAATAAAAATGAGGCGGAAAAGCAGTACCTTAAAGGGTTGGAAAATAGCATCAGTTCTAAGATGGATAAATACGTCTTTTTTTCTTCAGCTTCAGAGAAATCAGGTAGATTAAAAGTGATGCGGAAAAACGCATCTTAAAGGATCGGAAAATAACACATATTTTCCAAACACATATTTTTTTAACTTTGGAAAAGTTAAGCATATTAAATAAAACAAATTGAAAAGCGTGGCATCTTAAAGAATTATAAAACAGTATTAATTCTAATAAGTAAACACATATTTTTTTCTAACTTTGAGGGAATCGAGTAAATTAATGCTCGCTTCCATCAACGTAGATTAACTTTTTTTTTCCATTGGGAAAAAAACTATAAGTGCAACACAGATACAATTAAGGACAAATCGGTTTACATATTTTTAATGTTAAATAATTTAATCTTTTTAATATTATAAGGTTATCGTGACAAAAAATATGTAATTCAGAGAAGTGCGAATCAAGCATTTGTGAGGTCAAATCGAATTGAATCTTTGATAATATATTCTAAAACAAATCAAATAAAATTTGAAACTTTACATCAAATCGAGCCGAATTTTTTTTATTCAAATACGAATCGAATTCAAACTAAAATTTTTCCGAATTTACATTAAAAGCTAATTTAAAAGTAATAAAGTATTTTATAATAATGTTTCAGATTTTTTAAATAAATAAAAATTATTTTCAATTTATAAGAGTCGTGCATAAATAAAATAAATAAAATAGGCAATTGATTCAAAATAAAAACAAAATCCACTATGATTTGATTCGATACGAATTTGAACTATTTGCAGATCTTTGTAATTAAAATGTAATTAAAACGGTTAAATTATTCATTGTGATATAACAGAAGATAATTAATTATTAATACTATAAATATTGATTTGCATTTAAATGTACTCAGTATGCACCAGTATTGCATTAGTTTTAATGGAAAACGCTATTATTCTTCATCTTTTCCTAATCCTTAGAAAAAAATGAGTAAGTTGAATCGAGATTAAAGTTAATCTTCGTCGGTGAAAACAGGCAGGAATGAAGTAAAAAAATAGTTAGGCATAAAGAACCGGTTTCGGTCCTAAATGTATATTTTTTTTTAGCATCGGGCAAATGGAAAAAATGCAACGCAAAAAAAGTCATTACAAGGTCAGAGAAGCGTTTTCCGAGAAACAATTAAAACGAGATGATTAACTCCTTAATTGGCGCATGTTACGTGAACTAGACAAAATTGTTTTGAACAGTGAGAGAAAAATGTCCTAAATTTTAATAAATAATAACAGTTTAATTTTTAATAAATAATAACATTTTTTAACAGTACTAATATAACATTTATTTACGGAGAATAAATACTTGCTACAAAGCAATAATTAAATCAAATTAATAATTCTTGTATAAAATAAATATATATTTAATAAATATTCAAACAAAGATTTACTAAACTTTATTATATTTTTCTCTCTACTTACGATAAACATTCTAAAACGCAGCGCATCTTTTTCTTCAGCGTCAAGAAAATTAGATAGATTAAAAGTGAAGCAGAAAAACATAGCACTTAAAGGAAAAATGGCAGCAATTCCAAATGAATGCTTATTTTTTATTTTTGGGAAAATCGAGCAAATTAAATAAAAAGAATAGAAAAGCGTCTTAAAGAATCGAAAAAATATTAATTCCGATTAATAAACATGTACTTTTTACGGGGAAATTAGATAGATTAAAAATGAGACGAAAAATGCATCAATAAACAGTCTTTAAAAAATATACACAAATATATATTTTTCTTTAACTTCGGGGAAATTAAAACGTAATAAAAAAAATGAGATGCAAGAGAAGTCAAGGTCGGAGGAGTGTTTTCCGAGAAGCGATTAAAGCGAGATGATTAATGTCCGTTTCTATCAATGTAGTTTCATTTTAGTTTAATTAATTTCTTCATCTCTTTCTAATTCTAAACAAAATTTTTTTAAAAAATGAAGAGTAAGTTGAACCAAGAGAAGTTAGTTTCTATATTAATAGAAATGAACTTAAATCTGTTGACAACTGTATTACGTGAAACTACGGTAGGAAAAATTGTTTCGTGCGACGGAAAATATTTCGAGAATTGTGCAAATGAAAAATATTAAGTAAGATTACCTTGTACTCGATGTCCTCGATTCCCATGTCGAAATCTTGTCGGGTGCACTGCGAATAGACTAAAGCAACTAGCTCACTGCTTCAGAAAGAGAAAGAGCAAGACAAAAACGGAAAAGAAGAGTCGACGATGATCCTACGATGTGGCACACACCTAGCGCTAATTACTTTACTACCGGCGAGATTATGAGCTAACTATAATCACGAGACGCGTCACCGGATAAGATAATAAGTACGTGTGCGATTATCACGTCTCGATTCAATCTCCTCGCAAGAGAATGTGCTCGCGGTTGTTGTTAACGTCAACAAAACAAATTGAAGGAATCGGAGACTATTCAGGAAAGGTCGTGCTACAGAATCGTGTTGTGTCACCAGGTATTTCCAGTCGCACCGTTGACGTGGAACTCGATACGCGGCGACGAATGGAAACTCTGCTCGCGAAAATATTTTCACTTATTATATGTAGATATATTTTAGCAATTAAAGTGTCGTGGAAAAGAAAAAGGATATGATAAGATATGATTAAGTGCAGGAGACCACTCGGTTTTAAAAATTCTCTCTAAAAGTTCAGAAAGGCGTAACTCAAGTAACTCCGGTTTGCTTGATCCGCTTGGAATGACGCATCCGCTCACGGCTCAACTCGGCTCGGTTCCACTCCGCTTAGCGCCTGCTTGATACGAGACACACAACGCCAGCATGCTTGTTTTTGTAGTAGCTCCACGAGCGCCAATCGAAAAGCGCGAGAGGATCAGCCAGTGGGGTTAAAAGCGATAATGCGATGCGGCAATGGCTTGGCTCTTATCGTGCATACTGATGCATGTACGTCAGTAGTTAAATCCCATGCCTTTGACTTAAACCGCGAGATAAAGAGAGAAAGGAGAGAAAAGTGTGGAAAAACCGAAAGTACAATATAATGCACCGATTGTTGCCAGTGAAACACACGATTGCAATTTTCTCTGTTAATTCCTTTTTGTGTGATTAGCTGCTACTGCCCAGCTGCTAAGTTCAAAGTACACGATAAATCGAATTGAATGTCGTATTTTCTTTATGCAAATTCTATATATAGGCCTGAGAACAGTCAAATAGAGTCTATCCCATGCAGCTGTAATACATACATTTTTATTTAAAACGAGACGGTATATAATTAAATACTGACGAGAAAAAGAGGAAAAATAAAAAGCCCAAAAAGTTCGACTCTACGGGAAGAATAAACGAGTTCTACAGCAACTTACGTATGTTGTAGACGTTTCCTAACCGTGAATCCTCCTGATTCACACATATCTATCTACAAATTTCGATTTCTACAAATTTCTTTTCCCCATCTTGATACTATTTCCACAGACTCTAAATAAGAAAGAACCTTTTTGATCGAAAAAGTAAAGAATTGTACAGGAATCAAGCCTTTGTACAGGAATCAAGCCTTTTGTCAGAGAAAGTGAAAAGGGAAGAATTTAAAAACGTAGAAAACAATACATGAGGCGACATCTTGTTAAATAATAAAAAACTGCGTCTTGAATCAGTCGGTAAAATAGTACGTTGTTGGTAGAGTAGGACGCTGTTTGAGCGGCAAGCAATATTGATCTTTCTTACATTATTTTTTATTTTCCAGAGTATAATGTATATGATTGTAAGAAGATTTCGAACCAATCAATGAAAATCACTGGGAGAAGATCAGAATTATATTTAATTACATCAAGAAGCTGGCAAAGTAATTTGAAAGTAACATAATATCAAGAATTCAGGTATATAATCTCAAAGAGAGGTACAAAAATCAGTTGATTGAATCATTTCCAAAAACTCCCAGGACTTAAAATGACGGAGATTCCTGGCACAAGTTCGACCACTACTATTTGCGAATTGTAAGTTCAGCGTTTTATATTATATATTAAATTGTAGTATTTTATAAAAAAAGTATTCATACAAAATTACTAAGTTACATTAAACCTAACCCTTTTCTCTTGTGAAAACCAAATATTATAAACATTTTCATTTGTATTGTATCAACATGCATTTTTCTTCTTGTATTAGATGCAATAAGCGCAAACGTTTGTATACTTGTCCACGATGTGGTATAAGCTATTGCGGAGCTGAATGTTATAAGTCAGATACACATACAGATTGCTCCGAGAGCTTTTATAGACAGTGCGTTGAGGATGAGTTAAAGTCTCAGGAAAACAATCCAGTTGCTAGACAAAAAATGATGGAAATCCTTAAGAGAGTACACGAGGCTGACATGGAAAATGATATCTTGGAAAATAATTCAGATAAGGAAAGCATCAGTGAAGAGGATTATCCATTGGATTCAGATGATGAGCAAGAAGTAATAAAAATCAATACTCTCGACAGTTTCGTATGATTTGATGAATGCTTATTCTTACAAATGTATCTTTCAGCTTCTTGATTTGGAAACCAGATTGCAGAATGTCAATTTGGAAGATCCGAATGAGCTCTGGTCAGCTTTATCTGAAGCAGAGAGGCAAGAATTTGAAGCAATGATAAAAAATGGAGAAGCAGAAAAGCTGTTGCCTAAATGGGTGCCATGGTGGACTTGTCGTGTAGAAAAAAAATTAATTCGGCCAATTGAAGAGGACATTAAGGATGCTTATAGCGATTTAAAATATCCTGATTTGATAGATGTACCATTATTTAATGAATTGCAGGTAACAATAAAATTAATATTCAATAGTTAAAATATATGACTTAATTTTATTGTTATTATTTTTTTTAGAAAGCATCTCCTTTTGTACCCTTTAATGTGACAAATGTGATATATGCTTATGCATATGTTGCTCTTTACTATATTGGAGATTATTTAAACTGTGCCGAGGAAGCTGCCCATGTTTTTCTGATTATCTGTGAAAACATGAGAAATAATGAAATCTTCAAAGATATGGACTCTGCAATTGAATCCGTTGTAGGCAACGTAAAAAATGTGAGTAGTTTATATAATTTTTGAAAAAAAAAATCTTAAATATCTTAATATTTTTTCAGATTTTGTAAGATTTTATCAAATACTTCAAAATAAAAAATCTTAGAATATTTCAGAATTTAAAATATGAAAAATTTTGGAAAAAGTGTAGGCTTTCTCGACATTTTGAAAAGTTCGAATTTGTATAAAGGCTATGAGAAATTTTTTGAAAGATAAAATTATTTAAAAATTTTGAAAAGTGTTCTGAAAAAAATTTTACCATAGTATATTATTATTCAATATATATATTATAGGTCGATTGGTTGCCACAAGATGAACAAACTATAACAGCACTAAGAGAAGCTGGTGCTTCTATTTTGCAAGGACCAGGCATTGAAATGAAAACCATTTATATATCCGCGGCACTTTCCGAGCTTCATCGATTACTGACAACAGCGAAGAAAGAAATTTCAACTGGCAAGAGTGACAATCGGGAATTCACGAAGAAATTTTCACAAAAACTTAGCAACGGCACAAGCCTATCGAAAAAGAATATACTTCTGTGTTCAAAAAAGATAGAGTATTATTTATCATGGGTGAAAAGTGCTGAGACAGAAATCTTATAAATATATAACGTGAAATTATTTATTAAAACTGGTACTCAAGGTACTCTTTGTTATCATTTATTAAAATATGAAAAATAATATACTCTATTAGTAAATTCAAAATTTTTATTTGGATAGATATTTCCTTTTTATTTTTTAAAATAAATGAAGTGATTTTTGTCAAGATCTTTTTACATGAACATATATATATAAAGCTTATCCCTGTGAAACAAATTCTCATAATATCTCAATATTTTTAATTTATTATATTTTGAATTTATAAAACTTTCTGAAAAGAAACTTTAAACTTTTTTAGAGTTTATAAATCAGAAATTACAGAATGAGATATTTTTGGAAATCTTAAAATATTTCAAAATTTTTTTTCGCTTACAAAGAAATCTAAAAAAATGTGTAGATTTCTGAAAAGTGTTTCAATTTGTATAAAAAATCTGGGATTTTCTAAAAAATTATAAAATTATTCAGGAATTTTAAAATTTACATACAATTTTGAAAAATTATCTATAAAAGATATTTTTACTAGAAATATGCAAAAGCAACTAATCATAGATAGAAAATAAAAGATATTTTATTTCTGCGTTTTATACACACATATATAACACTTCATTGATCGACACTTTATCCATGTACTTACATACATTTTCCTGTTAATCACTTTTCTGAATGGCATCTTTTTTATATTTCTATGTGCTTTTGTTACTTCGAAGCTAGCAGACGACGTTACTGACATGACATTTGTTGCGATCGTGATGAATTCCGCGAATTATGTAGCTGCAATCAGAGCACGGCAGGGCCGTGCGAAGAGTTTTTAGAACTTTAGTGCAAAAATAAAAATGAGACTCTACTTGTTTATAAATTTTATATTAAAAAGCTTTCTGGGCTTCAGAAAATGTAACAAAATGGTATAATTAAAATTATAGCAGATCACCAATTATATATCTCTGTCAGAAAGTTAAATATATAAAAGCTATTTGGTTAGATAAAAAATTGCATTATTATTAATGTATAGTTTCTCTTTAAATTTTACACACACATACAAGGATTTCATTAAATTTAAATTACTTTCTACTTTTGTAAAGTATAATAAAATATAAATAAATATTATTTATATGTGTAGCGATTAGCTAAAAAAAAATACAAATTTTGTATTAGATTTGTGTACTAGAGAAAGAAGATTATTTGCACGTGCAAATTAATTTAAATAGAGATAAATTTAGGTACAAAGAATAAATATAAAATAGATATATTTAAATAAAAAAAATTCGGAGCCCCTTAGCACTGGAAGCGCGTTACCTTTACAGCGCAGCTCTCCTTTACACGGTCCTGAGTGGCAATACTGGCGAACTGATGATTGGCGATCAGACGGCTCAGTCGGCTGCAAGATGATGGCGGATGAGAGGTTGTTTTTCTCAAACGCCGTCCAACAATTGGCAAGATGTTTGGCCGCTATCAAACCCACGCCGTGGGAAAAAGTAAGTAGAATCTTCCCGAAAGAATTCTCCGATTAAACGTCTATTTCTCAATCACGGACAACTATCGTACTCCGCGTTTTCCATCGATTTTATCAGGGTTAACAACAGGAAATATCAGCTGACGTTCTGACGTTTCATGTTACGACATAATTCACAAGGATATCGTGCCACTTCTAGAAATTATAGTTTGCGATGCGTAATAATTAACGTTGTCTTATAAAAAATTATGATTGCAACTTACATAATGACTTTTAAAAAAGTCTTAGAAAAGTAACAATGCATTTTTGCCGCGGTGTACAAAAATACATTCCAGAAATTACGCAGTCAATATATCAAGATTACATGATCAATATACAATTATTTGTAAAATGCAGAGAGAAATCGGCATTTTATAAGATTATAATTATTTATAAATTTGATATATATAAGATTATATATAAAATATATAAT